CTCCAGCCTTCGGATGTAATGTGCCTCTGCCTTGGGTAGGCACCTCTCATTCCAAACCCGACACAGGACAGCAGCAGGTCCTGCTCACGTGGGTCCCTTCTGTGTGATGCAGTCTCTTCCACGTGTGATGGGCCATGCCTATCTCTGCACTTTACCTAGCATGTTGCCAGGAGCCACAAAAGCACTGAACACAAGTTTTTGTTGTTGTCTTTTTTTATGAATTGTGAACAAATTACAAACTATTTAGAAGAGCAGCAAGTATAGCTCAGTAGACTAAGTGCCTGCTTAGGTTCAATCCCCAGCACTACATGCCGTGTCAGCCCTGGGCACACTGAACTGGCCACCAAGACCAGGTATAATGGCACACATCTGTAATCCCAGTGCTGGGGAGGCTGAAAACAGTATCACTATGAGTCTGAGCTGCATAGTGAGACTCTGTACCAAATACATTTAAAAAATTTTTTTTCTTACAATCATTTGGAATGCAGCTTTGATAGCAATCAGCAGTTTCTTCAAAATGAATGACGGCATCTGTGGGTGGGTGGGGCTGGTGGTCCCCGAGGGGCTTTCTATGTACAGGGCACATGGGCAGCAGTGGTGGTGGTAACAGCCTCGCACCAGGGCCTGTTCACTATTGTGTATGCAACTACTGTGACTCATTGTTTACAGCAGATCATGCGCTAGAAGAAACCGGGCTCAAAGCAGTCACAGCGACAGAAATGACAGCAAAAGAACCCCCAAAACAGACATGTAAGAATCTTTTAAAAAGCTCAGGATTCTGGGTCTTTCTGATAGTGCAGTACATGATCTGACCCAAGACAATATCCCTAAGGGAACAATGATATGAAAGTCCAATAGTTAATATTCAGAATAAAGTTTAGAATATCAAGAAAAGTTGAAATGAGAAAAATCCTCATTTCTTCCTTTTCAGGCCTCCTGCAGGGAAGTAAGCTCCCTGGATGACAGGAACATGGCAATACTCCAGGCTCTCGTCTGCTTCCAGCCTCTGGCCTTCCAGGAGGGTGGTGAGGCCCGGGGCGCCGCCTGCAAGTGGACATCACCACTGGTCCCACTGCCCGCGGGACACAGGGCTACAGTCACGTGCCTGCCAGGCCAGGCCAAGCCTCAGGTCCTCGGCCCTCTGCCTCCTCTGCTGGGGCCAGGTTCAAATTTGCCATGCAGACCTAATCCTCTTACAGGAAAGCCACCCCATGTCTGGCTTATAAGGCAAAGATCAGAAAGCTAATAGTCATCACATTCTATTAGAGAAGCATATAATTTAGAATAACTTCGTCAACATGCTTTCTTAGATTCTCAGAATTTAGAACAAAAGGATTCAGATCCATTCAGACAGCCACTGAAAACACCTCCACCTGGCATGCAAAGTAAAGAAGTATGATACACATTTTATACAGCTAAGAAAAAAAAAAAAACAGTGCTTTTAGCATTTCTGTGTCATTTATAAAAGTAACTCAGGAAACCCTTAGTTTCTGAAAGGGCCATATCCAGGACCTTTGTGAACTCCCAAGTCCTAGAGTCCAGAGGCAGCACAGCTACTCCAATAGCACGTCAGCAAATTTTGGTGCTGACCCCAAAATTGTAACAGTTATAACATTTTGATGTTTTAATGCTGTGTCCTTTTTTAATATTGTGCCCTTAGTTATTGCAATAAAACTGTTAGCCATTCCTTTGCTATATTCACTTGTACTGATTACTCAAATCTCTGCCATTTTGTATGGAATTGAAATCTTTCTGACAAATATGAACAGCAATTCCACCTCCAGGAATTCATCTGAAACACCCATCGGAAAGGCAGTTAAGGTTTTTTTTACATGTATATGCTGCAATAGTAAGGGTAGAAGTGGAAACAACCTTATAGAATTTATAGAACTATCCTTAAGTTGGACTAGCCTTAAGTTTTTACATACCCAGATAAGGGAGGATTTTT